CAATCCTCCTGCCTCAGCCTCCCTACCAGCTGGGATTACAGGCCCATGCTACCATGCCTGGCTAATTTTTTCTATTTTTAGGAGAGGTGGGGGTGTCACACTTGCTGAGACTAGTCTCGAACTCCTGACCTCAAGTGATCTGCCATTTAATAAACACGGTCTTAATTTCCACGTGGACTACAAATGTTAACTTTTGAACTAATCATTACAGTGTTTACCTTTTTAAAGAAGCGAGAGGAAAGAAATAGCTTATTTTTAATGTATCTATAGGCAACACCAACATTGCTTAGAAGATTTGGAGCACAGCTTATCAAATCAACTATTTTATCAGCCAGTACTTCCCTTCGAGTATTAGCTCTTGGTGGCGAAGCATTTCCATCATTGACTGTTCTCAAAAGCTGGAGAGGAGAAGGCAATAAAACACAAATATTTAATGTTTATGGTATCACAGAAGTATCAAGTTGGGCAACCTTTTACAGGATTCCAGAGAAGATTCTTAACTCTAATTTGAAGTAAGAGTTTCAATTATACTAAATAGAAAGAAAGAGAGACTGTATATTTCCAGGATCTTAATACTAACAGTGTTTTTGATAGGCACTGGGGTAATAATTTTAGAAAAACTATTTTATCTAGTATTTTAAGTTGGGAATCCACAACCTTTCTTATTAAAACTGGTGCTGAGATCATGCTAGAACTTTTTATAACTGAACAATAATGGATAACATATGATAACCTTTCCACCTGACGTTTTCCTCTTGGCAGTCTTTGAACTATAGCATAATAAACTTTTTTTTTCTTTATAATGTGAGTAAATACATTGGGAAATACTCTTTTCAAATGAAAAATTTTAAATCTGCTTTGGGTTGTGTTTTTCGTAGATGTGAAATGCCTGTACAACTGGGATTTCCACTGCTTGGAACAGTAGTTGAAGTCAGAGATACTAATGGTTTCACAATTCAAGAAGGCACTGGCCAAGTATTTTTAGGTTGTTTTATGTTTATTCATTGAGAATAATTTTTTTTAAGAAAAAAA